TATATAATTATTCTGTTGCTATCTGATAATACGTTGATTAATTCACAATATGAATCTATGTGTGTCTCATTGCTAATGGACCTCGAGTTGTTTTAGTTTGGGGATGTTAGCTGGACCTCCATCTCTGTGTGCACCACCATTCAAGTCACTAGGCCGCTGTTAGGAGCAGAATGCTGATTCACAGGGCAAGTTCATCTCCCACTTTGTCAGAGCACATCCACAGTGATGGCACGGCTTTTCAACACTGTCACCAAGGTGTGAGGTATGCGCGCTCCTCAGGGTTTGCCTCCCTTGCAGATCTGCCATGGCTTTAGGCATCAACTTCCCACAGCCTGGGTCTGATGGCTGTGTGGAGTGAGAGGCTTGGCTACTGTGGACCACAATGGACTGACTCCAATCAGCAGGCCTCACTCCGGAGGGCCACCCAGACTTGGCCAGCTACATTTTGGTCACCCTCATCCTGCTCCTCCTCTTCTTTTCATAGTTGGTTCTTAAGAAGCTTCTCCTACACTAGACTCAGACTCAGAGCTTAATTCCTGAGAACTGTTTGCAGCTCTTCTGTGGATCTTCATCATTGCCAATACTTGATGTGATGGACTTAAAACTTTGCTAGTCTTGTGGGTATTCCAGGACAGCTTAGTGTGGGTTTATTTGTTTTTTTTTTTTCTTAGTTAAAATTTAAAGCTAAACTCTAGGGCTGGCGGGATGGCTCAGTGGGTAAAGGCACTTACTGTATGAGCCTGACAACCTGAGTCCTGGAACATACACAGAGGTGGAAGGAGAGAAATGACTCCATAAAGCTGTCCTCTGACCTCCACACACATGCAGTGGTAGGCATGCACCCTCCCATCAGGCACACAGACACACAATAATAAAAAACTTTAAACCCTAAAATTAAATATATTAAAAAAATTTAATTATTGAGGTATATTTATGTACAGTAAAATATTTCTCTTTTTGACACATACATTTCAGGGAGTTTTGCCAACTATACACCATCAGAGAATCATCACCATAGTCAAGACATGGGCCATTTGTATCTCTCCAGAGAGGCTCCCATGGCCCGTGCACCTTGCCTCACTGCCGCTCCATGTTCTGTTACTATAATTTTGTCTGTTCTAGATGTTCAATAAGTGGATTCACCAAGAACATATTCTCTGGTGTCTGTCATCTTCCACTTGGCACAGTCCTTTCGGAACTTATCCGTGTTGCATGGATCAGCAATTGCTTCTGTTTATTGCCGAGTACTACTCCATTGCATGGATGCATCACAGCTTATCCATCATCTCCTTGGCAGACATTCTGAACGTTTCCATATTTGGGAATCATATATGAACTTGTAGCATATATGTGACGAAAATCTTTTTATGGATGTTTTCACTACTGTGTGGGGTGGCACTGTTGGGTAATAGGGTAGGCATGATTTTGACTAACAGTAAACCTGCTAACAGTATTCCAAAGTGGTTTTCCTGTTTTAACTTTGACATAGCAGCAGCCCATGAGAGTTCTGGCCGTTTTGTATCCTTGCCGACACATGGACTTTTTAGCTGTTCTAATGAGTGAAGTGTGTGCGTGTGTGTGTGTGTGTGTGTGTGTGTGTGTGTGTGTCTTTTTGAGACATGGTCTCCCAGTAGCCCCAGCTGTCCTGGAACTCACTATGTAGACCAGGCTGGCCTTGAACTCACAGAGATCCACCTGCCTCTGCCTCCCGAGTGCTGGGATTACAGGCGTGCACTACCATGCCCGGCTAGGAACTTATATTTTTATTTTACAATTAAATAATGCAAAACTTGACTGATATTGAGTATCTTTTCATATGTGTATTGGAAATTTGTATGTCTGTTTTATGTAGCGTCCATTAAATCTTTAAAAAATTTTATTGGGCTGGGGAAATAGCTCAATGGTTAAGAGCACTGACTGCTTTTGCAGAGGACCCAGGTTCAATACCCAGCACTCACATAGTGGCTAACAACAGTCTGTAACTCCAGTTTGAGGGGATCTGATGCCTTCTGAGATACACAGGCATTGCACAACACGGGTGCACTTAACACATGCGGGCAATACACTCACACACAGAAAATTATTTATTTTTATTTGATGCTTATGTTTTGCCTCCATGTCTATAAATGTGCAAACGATGCCCGCAGAAGCCAGAAGAAGGCATCAGATCCCCTCAAACTGGAATAACAGAGGCTTGTTAGCTGCCAGTGGGTGCTGGAACCCAAGCCCATGTCCTCTGCAAGTGATCTTAACTGCTCAGCCATCTATCCTGCCCCTTAAGTCTTTTTAAGAAGAGTTGTTTACTTACAATGGAGTTTTAAGAGTTCTTTATCCTTGATACAAGTACCGCACAGATGTGTTATACTAATACTTTCTCTAGGACATGGATTGTATTTGAATTTTCTTAAGGCTGTCATTTTTTTTTTTTTTTTTGGTGATTATTTTGATAGGGTCTCCCTAGTCACAGCCTACCTGGAAGTTACAATGTGAACCAGGGTGGCCTTACTCTCTCAGAGATCTACCTGCCTCTGCCTCTGCCTCTGCCTCCAGAGGGCTGAGATTACAGGTGGGTACTACCACACCTGGCATAAGACTGTCTTTTTAAAAAATATTTTATTATTTTTATTTTATATGTATGAGTGTTTTGCCTGAGGAGGTCAGAAGAGGACATTGGCTCCCATGGAACTGGAGCTATGGATGACTGTTAGCTACCATGTGGGTGCTGGGAACGGAATCCCAGTCCTCTGCAAGAGCAGCCAGTGCTCTTAACTGCTGAATCATCTCTCCAGCCCCTTAAGACTGTCTTTTAAAAGAGAAGTTTTGTTTTGGGACAGGGTCTCCCTGCAGCCCCAGCTGGCCCGGAACTTGCTATATAGATTAGGCTGGCCTCGATCTCACAGAGATCCACCTGCCTCTGCTTCCTGAGTGCTGGGACTAAAATATACCCAGGTGAGAAGTTTCGAGTTTTAGTGTTTAATGTATGAATTTTTGAATGGCCTGAATGTTTTCTTACCTCAAATCATAAAGCTTTTTCTTCTGGGAGTTTTGTTAATTAATTTCTGATGAGAACAAGCTGTTTTCATCATTCATTTGCCATATAGATTTCCTGTTGTCTGATGTATCTAAGGTTTTTCCCATTTTTTTTGTAAGGCTTTATTTATCTGACTGATCCCACTGAGTATTTATGTGCCTTGGAGCAAGTCCTTGGTTCCACTCACTGTCTGTCTTTGCTATTCTGTTACTTGCCATTTTAGAATCTCTGTGATGTCATCTGATGAACAGAATTTCTTAATTTTAAGGAATTTGAATTCATGTTATACTTCATTTTTATTGTATTCATGGTCTTAGGATTTGCTAAACTCCTTAGGATCTGTAGGTCAATGTTTTTCACATAAACATTGAAAAATCTGAGCATCTTTCTCTCCTCCCCCTCCTCCTCTCCCCTGCCCATCACTCTTCTCTCCTCCTCCTTCCTCTTTCTCCTCAACAGAGTCTCTATGTACCCCAGACTGGCCTTGAACTCACAATCCTTCTGCCTTAGCCTCCCAAGAGCTGGGACTATAAGTGCGTGCCATCGTAGCCACTGATTTCTTTCTTTAAACTTCTATCCATTCTGTCTTTGCCTTCTGGAATTCTGAACGCATACATGTTTGTATGTTGACTGTTGTCCACAGGGTTATTGAAGCTCTATTCCTTTCTTCTTGTTATCATTGTGATTAATTAATTTTGTGTATAGCATGTGTGTGTTTATGTGTGTAGCAGGTGTGTGTGTGTGCATATATATGGAGGTAGGGGGCATCCTCCGTCATTGCTTTCCATCTCATTTTTTTGAGATGGGGCTTATCGTTGAATCCGAAGCTCACCAATTGGCTAGACTGGCTGGCTAGTGAGCCCCAGGATCCACTTGTCTCTACCCACTCAGTGGTAGGGTTACAACGTGTGCTGTCACACCTAGCTACTTCATAAGTGCTGGGGATTCGAACTCAGGTCCTCATGTTTGCATAGCAGGCACTTTACCAACTGAGCCATCTCTCTAACACTGTTACTTTAAAAAATTTGCTTCATCACTTTTTTTGTTCTGGAAGTTGCTTTCTGAGGCTGCGTAGTTGCTTTCTGAGGCTGCGTGTCTATTCGTGTGGTCTTTGTGACTCCCACCATGGAGTACCGTGGCCAGAGCCAGAAGGTGCAGAAGGTGATGGTGCAGCCCATTAACCTCGTCTTCAGATACTTGCAAAATAGATCTTGGGTTCAGGTGTGGCTGCATGAGCAAGTGAATATGCGGACAGAGGGTTGTGTTATTGGTTTTGATGAGTATATGAATGTCGTATTAGATGATGCAGAAGAGATTCATTCTAAAACAAAGTCAAGAAAAGAGCTGGGTTGGATCATGCTAAAAGGAGATAACATTACCCTGCTACAAAGTGTGTCCAACTAGAAATGCTCAAGGAAGTGAGAAGTTGAGAAGGCAATAGAGTTTGTTCTTTTTACTTTTTATTTTATTTTATTTTTTTTGGTCTTTTTGAGACAGGGTCTCCTTGTAGCCCCAGCTGTCCTGGAACTCACTATGTAGACCAGGCTGGCCTTGAACTCACAGAGATCCGCCTGCCTCTGCCTCCCGAGTGCTGGGATTAAAGGCATGTGCCACCATGCCTGGCCAGTTTGGTCTTTTTTAAAGCTGTCTCCTGGGAGCATAGTTTGCAACATTTATTCATAAACATTCATATTGTTTTTCATGACCCTTACTTATTATCAGGTGACAGTAAATGCTGTGAGATTGTTTTTGTTAAAAAAAAAAGTCATTTCATCTTGTTTGAGACAGTATCTCACTCTGTAGCCCAGGCTGGCATCAAACTCATGGCACACCTTCCTCAGCCTACCAAGTGCTAGGACTATAGACAAGAGCTGCCACACCCAGGTTCTGCTCTTTCTCAAAAAGCTTTTGCTTTTCTTCTTTTTCATTCAGACTGGGAATTTTCTTATGACATCTTAATAAGCATGCCAGCCAAATGCTCTAGTACATTGTTGGAAGCTACTGAATTATCTTTCCATTTCATACACTGTACTCGCCAATTCTAGAATTTCCATTTGGCCCTTTCTCTCCTTTCTAGTCCTATGCTGAGGTTCCTGTATACTTTTTCTTGATGACATTAGTTCTTAAAGTTCTTGAATGTATTTATGATGCCTTCTCTAAGTTCTTATCTGCTAATGCTAGCATCCGAGATACCTAGAGATTGGTTTCTACAGACATTTTTCTCATTCATTTCTTTAGGTTACATTTTCATGTCTTCCACTAGGCCAATTTTTTATTATATACCAGAAACATTGCTGATAAGTTGTAAAAGACTTTGGACTCTGATATCTTCCTTTAAAGAAGCTTTATTTTTGTTTTAGCAAGTGGTTAGTTTGGCTGAGCTCAAACTCCAAGCTGTGTCCCTAAAATAGGCTGCATTTAAAGCTGAGCTCAGCTCTCTCGCCTTACCTTGCTGTCCTGGAATCTCTCCCATCTATGTGCAGTTCCTGGTTAGTCATGGACTTGGGTGGAGTTATACGCAGATTTGGGGGCCTCTTCTCATGGCTTACTTCCCAGGATCTTTCCTACTGCTCTTCTGGAAGCGCACTTCTTGATTCCTTGTTTAATAAACCAGAGACTTTCCCGCTTCACTTTTTTTTAGCTGTCTCTAATCGTGTGGATCGTAGAGTATCCTTGGATAAAAAACATACCCAGGGCGATTTCCTTCTTTCGGTGTTTGACTCCTTACCGCTTTCTGACTGCTTTCCTCCCCTCTCCCGCCACTGTTAGTTAGCACCTTGAGTCATGGGATCTGAAAAGCATTCAGTATTCTCTGTGGAGTGTCAGTTCAGTACAAACTCATCTCCTTATCCTAGCACAGTGCCTACTACCTTCTGGTACACTGAATTTTTTATTAATTCTAATAATTCTTCTTACTAATTCAAATAATAAAAATCTTTCAAATTTTTCATATACACAATCATAGTATGTACTGTCTTAGTCTGCCTTCAATTGCTGTTATAAAAGCACTGACCAAACTCAGCTTGGGGAGGAAAGGGCTTTTTGGCTTACAAACATAGTCCATCATCAAGGGAAGCCAAGGCAGGAACTCAGGGCAGGAACCTGGAGCACAGGCCATGGAGGAATGCTGCTTACGGACTTGCTCCTTTGGCCCCTGCTCAGCCTGCTTTCTTATGTAATACAGGACCATCTGCCCGGGGGTGGCACCGCCCACAGTGGGCTGGGTCCTTCCACATCACCCAACAACCAAGAAAATACTCCCCAAACATGGCCAATGGAAGTGGTTCCCCAGCTGAGGTTCCTCTTCCCAGCTGTGTCAAATTGACAAGTAAAGCTCTCCCTTTTATTTATGTATTTTGTCTTATTGCATGGTCTGGCACCTCTAGATCATTGCTGAAAATGGCTACAGAAGAATCTCTTATTTGTTTCATATCTTAAGTGGAAAGCCTCCATCCACACGTTCTTGTTAAACTGCGTTTTAACAAACACAGTTGTGGTGGTTAATCTTAGTTGTTAACTTGATGGATTTGGAATCAACTAAAAGGCAACCACTCTGCACACCTTTGAGGGATTCTCTTAGTCTTGAAGTGGGCCTAAATGTGGGAGCACTTTCCAGTGGCAGCCCAGATAAAGGAGGCCTAAGAAAGAAACCCTGCTTCTGCCTGCTTGCTTCTGTTCTCACTGGCAAGTTCATCTTCTCTGGTGCTGCGGCTGCCGCAGCCATAGTCCTTCACTGACATCAGAACCCAGCTTCTTTAGGCTCCAACCTGGACTGAAGACCAGTGGCTCTCCAGGAATCCTCCAGGCCTTCAGCACCAGATTGGGACTGCTGAGATACCCAGTCCTCATGGACTGAGCAACTACTGGGTTCTCGGCCTCTCTGCTTTGAGACAGACATTGTTGAACTACCCAGATTGTATCATAAGCCAATCTCACAAATCCCATTTCAATCTAATACTCATTCTGTCAGTGCCATTTCTCTAGAGAACCTTGACTAATACAGATTGTGGCCCCAGAAGTGGTTCTAGAGAAACAATTGTAAGGATGAATTTCTGTGTGAGCTTGGTGGAAAGCAGAAGTTACTAAAGACTCCCCTGGTAGCATAGAGAGCACTGGAAATCCTTGGTGTAAACTATTTAAAGAACTACACAAGATAAATGCATTTGACCCTCCTGATTAACCTTGTGTGAGGTACAAGGAATTTGGTGACTGCACATGAAACTTTTGGACATTTGTGGAAAAGTCAGGAAAAGAATGATGCTTGGTGGTTGCTTCTAGCATCTCTGGATAAGGTAACAAAGGAAAAGAATGAGTTTAGTGATAAAATTACAGAGTTCTAGATGTGTGTAAAAAATCTAAAGGTTTCTAATGTGTACTGGAAAAGAATCTTCTCTCCAACCTGTGAGCTTAGGTTGCTGACAATCAAACCCCAACGTGTATCATATGGTTGTTGGTCCTAGGGCTCACAGTGTAAATTTAATTCCCAGCCTCAAAGGGTGTTGGCACTTGAAGTGAGGGCACCAATTAATTTTGTCTGAGGAAGTAGTCTCTTCACCCTTAGCTTGGGATGCTTTCCCACCTCCACCCCAGGCACTATTGCCCTCTGTACCCTTGCCTTAGGGAAAGAATCATGCATCGTCTGTGGACAAGCAAAGGCCTTCCCCGAAGGCGATTCCAAGCAAGACAATGTTGATGTCCCTCAGTGCTCATCCATCTCTGCCCTTGATCTCTAACAAGACTCAAGGCTAAGCCGAACCCAGAGGTGAAATAGAAAATGTGGTCCATGAAGAGGTGCACTACACTGCTAAGGAACTTAATGACTTTTCTAATTCATTCAATCGGAAGTCTTGGGAATATGTGTAGGAGTGGATTTAAAGGATGTGTGCTAACAGGGACCGGAACATTAAAGTGGATCAGGCAGAATTTATTGATATAGGCCAATTGAACAGAGATTCTGGGTTTAATATTAGAGCTTTCACAGTTAAAATGTGGTACCAAGAGTTTATTTTATTGGTTGGCCAAAGTATGGGTCAAAAAAATGGCCTAATGTGAAATGAGCTGGCAATGCCTGACATCCCTTGGCTTAGTGTTGGTGAAGGTATTCAAAGGCTCAGAGAACATGGAATGCTTGCGTTGATTTGCTGTTTAAAACCTAATTCTACACAATGGGAGGGTCCAAAAGATATGCCTTTTAGTAAAACTATGGCACCAATTGGAGAAAAGGGCACCAGCACATTTGAAGATCTCTGGCTTTGCTCTTCTGCTTGGCCAGATCTTATGGTGGGAGATACAGCTGCTCAGCTGGATGAATTAAATGCAAAGGATCTAATTGGATCCCAGAATAGCAGGGGCCAAGTGGCGGCATGGAATCATGAAAGGTAAGGTTGAGCGCACTATCAGTAATGGAGAACACAGTCAAAACAGTGTTCAGAGCAGTCTGATTTGTGCGCACCTTTGGCACTGGCTAATTAATTATGGTGCTTCCAGGAGTAATGTACATAGGAAGTCTACTGTCTGTTCTACCTGATAGACATAAAGATTCCAGAAGAAATTGATGAAAGGATACCTTGGATTGTTGAATTGCAACAGGGAATCATGGCCCATGAACCAGACTTGAGCCAGTTTACGGATCCAGAGCCCCTTGAATGAAAGGAAAGCCAGGTCTATTTGAAGAAGGACCTTGTTACAATGCAGAATAGTTTTACTATTAATCTTTTACCTGTCCTTCCCCAAATGGACCTGTGTCATTTTACTAGCATAGCAGTATGGGAGAAAAAGAAATAATCGGATCTTTCAGGGACAGCTAGACACCAGTTTTGAATGAACATTGATTCAAGGAGATCCCCCCAAACTTGTGGCCCTCCAGTTAAAGTAGGGGCTTACAGAGGTCATATTATCCATGGAGTTTTAGTCAAAGTCTGACTCATTGTGAGTCCAGTGGGTCACTGAACTTATCCTATGGTTAGTTCCCTGGTCTCAGAACTCATAATTAGGCAGAATTCCCATATTACTGCTTGACCTGTGGAGTGAGGGCTAGCATGGTTAGAAATTGGAAGCCATTAGAGCAGCCTGTACCAGGGATATAGTGAACCAAGAATAAAATCACTTCTCTCCAGCGATTACAGAAGTTATTGCCACTGCCAAAGACTTGAAAGATGCAAGACCTTGGTAGACCACATCTCCTGTTAACTCTTCCATTTGGCTTCTGTAGAAGACAAATGGATCATGGGGAATAGCAGTTGATTATCACAAACTTAATCAAGTAGAGACTAGTTATAGTTGCTTTATCAGATGTAGTTTCTTTACTTTAGCAGATGAATGGATCTCTGGGTAATTGGTTATGCAGCTATTAACTCAAATGCCTTTCCCCCGCCTCAATTCCTGCCCATAAGAAGCAATCTGCTTTCAGCTGGCAAGGCCAGTGGTATACCTTTACTATTCTACCT